TGATTATACAAATTTATACTCTCACTAGGAATACAAGACATTTCCTGTTACTCTACATCCTCAATAATACATGCTATCTTCACACTTTAAAATGTTTTGCATTCTGATGGATGCTTAATGCTATTTAACTGTGGTTTGAATTTTTTTATTTTTTAATTTAATTTTTTTTAGACGGAGTTTCCTTCATTACCCAGCGTGGAGTGCAATGGTGCAATCTCAGCCCACCACCCTCCACCACCTGGGTTCAAGCAATTCTCCTGCCTCAGCCTCCTGAGTAGCTGAGATTACAGGCATGTGCCACCCTGTCAGGCTAATTTTGTATTTTTAGTAGAGACAGAGAGTTTCTCCAAGTTGGTCAGGCTGGTCTCAAACTCCTGACCTCAGGTGATCTGCCCACCTTGGCCTGCCAAAGCGCGGGGATAACAGGTGAGAGCCAACGTGCCCGGCCTGTAGGAGTTTTTAATATGCCCTGGAAGATAGTCCTTTCATGCTTACATGTGTTGCATATATCTTCCTCTATTTTGTGGCTTGTCTATGGTTTACCTTTCTGAATACATTAAGTGTTCCATATTCTTCATTTTTTTCACATTCCCTAAGTCTTAGATTGAGAATGGTATGTTAGAATCTCTCTTTATTACTGTGTTACTATTTATACTTACATCTCCTGTGGTTTCCGCTTTATGTGTTTCTATATGTTATTGGCACCAAGTTGTTCTTATGTGAATATTATTACTTTTGCATTATGAAGCATCTTTCTTTGGTTCATTTAATGCCTTTTTGGCCTGAATTCTTCTTTACTGCCTATGAAAATACTCTGCTTCCTTTTTGTTTACATTTATTTGATATATTTCCATTCTTAACTCCCTTCCTTTTTATCTGCCTTTCTGAGTCACTGTGTTTTAGATATATCTCATATACAGCCTATAGTTGGGTTTTGCTTTGTAAGCTAGTCTGAAAATATTTTTTATTTAGTTAGATGAGTTATGTCCATTTACATAATTGATATGACTGATATGTTTAGTCCCAGGTTTGTTATTTTACTTTATATTTACTGTGTGTCTTTTATTATTTATTTGGGGTTTTCTTCATCCTGGTATTTAGGAAGATTTGTATTTTTGTTTTAATATTTATCTTTATAATAATACTCTATGCTAGTGTTTTTGGCTCCTCTTTTTTTCCTTTTTTTTAAAACAATTTATGCTTCTGATTTTGATTTACTACCTCTAAAATTATGCTCTGACTCCTTCTTCTTATATGTGAGGCAATCAGAAACTTGTTCTACTTTCACCTTTTTCTCTCCCTTTTCTTCTCATTTACTTTCAGTGGTGTTATTTCTACTTTGTCAAACAATATAACATTTTTGTACTGTTCACTTAGTCTTATCCCCTCACCTTTGTTTTAGTCTCAGAACTATAAATATGTTTAACACTTAACTGCCAGTTATTTTGCAGAAGATTTTTCAATGATTTCTTGGTTGGATGAAGCTAACCTATACTAGGCCTGAGTACAATATTTCCTTAGTTCTTTCACATTTAAAACTTTCTCTAGAACCAGGATAGGCAAACTAAGGTCTGCATCATGTTTAGTAAGGCCTGTGAGTTAGGAATGTGTTTTATGTTTTTAAAAAATTGAAAAAAAAGAGGAATATGACAGAAACCATATGTGGCCCACACATATTTATTTACCCTTTGACCCTTTACAGAAAAGGAATGCTAATCCCTGTTCTAGAGCCTTCATAAGTTAATACTTGAAGGATAGCTTGACTGGCTATAAAATCCTTGGCTGACTTTCCTTGGGTTTCTTTTAAATGTTGCACTACTGATGTCTTGCTTTATATGTTACTATTTAGAAGTGTGATACCCACTTAATTTCCTTTTCTTTGTAAACTATCTTCAGTATTTTTGCTTGGGAGGTTGGAGAATTCCTTTAATGTGTAATAGTTTTAGCAGGCTATGTATCTCAGTTGAGAACTGTAGGTCATATTTTTCTAGGTATACAGTAAGTTCTTTCCATGTGAAAATCAGAAATTATTTCAAGAATGTTTTCTAAAAATAGGATTTTAAATAGATCTGTTTCATTGTTTTTTTTCTTTTGGGGACCACAATTAGTCTTATCTTAGATCTTCTTTTATATCTACCACTTTCATTCTGATCCATTTTACTCTCTTTATTATGTTTCATTTTCTTGGCTCCTTTTATTTCTATTCTATGTTTTTCTTACTATATTTTTGGTCATATCTGTTCCATCTTGGAAACCTGCTAATTCATTTCTGAGACTTTTTTTTTCTTATTTCTTGAGTTTGGCTAATCTTAATTTCATACCTTCCTATTTTTCCATTTTATTATGTTTTTAAATTTCTGTTTTATGATGTTCGTTAATATCTGCAAATGCTTAATTATATTTAATCTCTATTGGGAGCATTGTTAAGTTTTTCTCTGCTTCATGGATGTGTTTTGATTTTACTGCTCAGTTTTGAGGTTTTCTTCATAAGTAGCTGTGTGAATGCTAGATTATTTGTAGATGTTCATGTTTACTTGTGTTGGATTTTTCCATTATCGGTAATAACAGATGTTCTTATAGAGGAACAGGGAGTGGTGTTTTGGTGGCTTACTGTGTTTCTTAAATCAGGAGCACCCTCTTCTGTTGCCATAGTGAAATGCAGTCATTTATGTTTCTTTTTTTAAGTAATTGGAGACTTTTGGGGAAAGGAGTGTTTTCTTGGGATTCCTTTCCACTAGCTTAATTCAGTGGAGCTCTTATCCTGGCCATTTTCTTCTTTTTTCTTCCAAACTGGCTCCCAAGGATACCTCTCCCTTCCAAAGCATTTTCTTCTCTCCCAGAAGCTATGTCTTCCCATGATTATTGCCTCTGACTCCGTGTATTTTTCAAATCCTTTCTTTTGAATTCCTCATAGAATCTACCAGGTGTTTTTTTTTTTTTTCTCTATTTCTCCACTTCAACTAGAGCGCTCTCTTTTCAGGCTAACTCGTGATTGATGTTTCCTGTTATTTATGTATAGTGCTGACACATAGTCCATGGCTGACTCTCTGCTCAGATGTGGGCTCCTGACCACACTCTCGTCTAGAGTCTTTATTTCCTCACTTATATGTAGAGGATTCTGTGCCCAAGTTATGTTGTAGGCATAAATTTGGGTGGTTTTACTTGGCTTCTTTTATGGTAGTTTGGAAGATTTATAGAGCAGTTCTAATTTAGGTGGCTGCCATTATCCTGTGGGAACTCAACTCTATAACATAACAAAATAAATAAGCTAGAAAAATAATACAGTACTCTACCCTTCATCCATGGGGATAGGTTCCAAGACCCCCAGTGGTTGCCTGAAAACACAGATAGTACTGAACCTTATATATATTATACTATATATATATATATATGTATAGGAAAAAACCACAGTATATATACACATACAGTATATATACTATATATATACTGTGTTTATGTATATATACTATATATATATACTGTGTTTATATATATAGATATATACTGTGTTTTTTCCTGTACATATATACCTATGAAGAGGTTAATTTATAAAGGAGGCACAGTCAACCATAACAAAAATAACTAATAATAAAATAGAACGATTATAAAATATACTGTAATAAAAGTTATGTGAATGTGGTCTCTCTCTCTAAAAAATCTTAATATACTGTACTGTGGGTAACTAAGAGCGCAGAAAGTGAAACTAAAGATAATGGGGGACTAACTGTAAGATAAGCAATATAGAAGTGAGAGCTCGATGAAGATAAAAATGAAAACATGAGTTACAGAAGCATAATTGAAAATAAGATCAATAAAGCGATAGTGGTAGAAACATCAACATGATAAGGCTTGAGGTAATTTATCAGAAAAGGGTAGATACTAGTCTCTTCTCGCACTGCTATTAAAAAAATACCTGAAACTGGGTAATTTATAAAGAAAAGAGGTTTAGGCCAGTGTGGTGGCTCACGCCTGTAATCCCACCACTTTGGGAGCCCAAGGTGGGCAGATCATGAGGTCAAGAGATCAAGACCTTCTTGGCCAACATGGTGGAACCCCGTCTCTACTAAAAACACAAAAATTAGCTGGGTGTAGTGGTGCGCGCCTGTAGTCCCAGCTACTTGGGAGGCTGAGGCAGGAGAATCACTTGAACCCAGGAGGCAGAGCTTGCAGTGAGCCAAGATTGCACCACTGCACTTTAGCCATTTAATTGTTTAATTGGCTCATGGTTCTGCAGGCTATATAGGAAGCATGGCATCATCTGCTTCCAGGGAGGCCTCAGGAAGCTTTCAGTCATGGTGGAAGGCAAAGGCAGAGCAAGGCTGGTGCAGGAGGAAGGGGTGGGGAAGGTGCCACACACTTTTTAAATGATCAGATCTCACGAGAAGTCACTCACTAACAGAACAGCATCAATGGGGAAATCTGTCCCCATGATACAATCACCTCTCACCAGGTTCCACCTCCAAGACTTGGGAATTACAATTTGACATGAAATTTGGGTGGGAACACAGATCCAAATAATATCAGGTAAAGACACAAAAATTAGGAAAGATGAAGGCAATAGAAACACAGAGGAGATAAGATATTAGAATAAAATATAAAATTCTCTTCTAAAATTTTGATATGTGACAGAACTACCAATTTTCTAAGCAAATAGAAATAATCAAAATTGGCTCAAGATGAAAAAATATCAATAGCCATCTTAGAAAATATTGAAAGTTATAACAGGTAACTGAGACCAGAAATCTTGGAAGGAAATCATGTTTAGAAAGAAAAATAACATTTTTTTTTAAGTTCGAAGTGCTTGTATGTGATGACCAAGTAATAGAATACAGAGACTGGAACATGGGAGAGAATCTGTAGTTATAAATACAAAATTTGGAGTTTATCACCACTGAATAAAAAGAACGCATTGCTGGTATGCATTATCAAATACCTATGGGCAAGTGAGAAAAGAATGTGACACACTAGCTGATCTTACTCATTTTCATGTTTGCTTACAGATAGGTGAAAAAGAGTACATCACCTTACCAGATCACCCTTTACTTCCTTGTCAACCTATTCTTCCTTCAGGAATAACTGCTATCTCTTTATTACAAACTGAAAGTAAGTATAGTACAATCATAAGTACAGATGATTCTGTGAGGTAAAGTAAATAATGGAAATGGGGAGTTGTTTAATGGGTATAGAGTTGCAATTTGAGAAGATAAGTTCTGGAGATGGATGGTGATGATAGTTTCACAACAACGTGAATGTACTAAATGCCACTGAACTGTACATTTAAAAATAGTTTAAATGGTACATTTTGTTATATATTTCACTACAATAAAATAAGTTAAATTATAGGAATTTTATTTATTTAATTTTTTTTTTGAGACAGAGTCTGGCTCTGTTGCTCAGTCTGGAGTGCAATGGCATGATCTTGGACCTTGGCTGCTCAGGTTCAAGCAATTTTCCAGCCTCAGCCTCCCAAGTAGCTGGGATTACAGGTATACACCACCATGCCTGGCTAATTTTTATGCTTTTAGTAGAGACAGGGTTTCACCATCTTGACCAGGCTGGTCTTGAACTCCTGGCCTCAAGTGATCTACCCGCCTCAGCCTCCCAAAGTGCTGGGATTACAGACATGAGCCACCATGCCTGGCCAGGGATTTTATATTTATTATAACATATGTTTAGTCACCAACATTATTTCATTTTAAAATATATATTCTAAAATATACATTTGCTCTGTAAGATTTAAGTATAATAATTTTGAATCCCAGATGAATTTACCAAGATTTAAACCAAAGAATATTAGTGTAACTACTTGAGTTTTACCAAGTTTCTACACATACATGTAAATGCAAAAAAAACACACTATTTTATAAATCCCCTTATTTATCACTCTTAGAAACTGAAATGACTTCTCTGCATTTTCCACATAATAAATGCTATACTGTAACAAGAAAAACAGTTTGGGATAAAATTTATTCTTGCTGCTTTAGAAATCTTTAAATTTTATACTCCATATTTTAGGATATGAGCCATCTTTCAGCTTTGAGACATTGATGAATATGAGTTATAATCTCTTTAGGAGAGAAGATTATCAAACAAATGAAACAAGTAAAGGAAGAAAGAAGGTATCTGGAAAGAAATAGAGAAGAACTAATAAAAACAGATGAAAAGCTATTTGAACAAAGCAAATTAAGGCAGTATAATGGTAAAGTTTATTACACACCTTTTATCACTATAAAGAAAACTTAAGTTTTATAGAATTAATCCTTTTAGAATAAATAATAAAGTTATAATTAATATTTACTGTTTTACTATTTTAGTTTAAGTGGTACATGATTGAGGTAAGTTCAATGTAGAAAACATGAAATTATCATTGAACTCTATACAATAAATGCTTTACATAGGGTTTTAAAATTAAAATTCAAATATTTTCATAACTGAAACTCATTTACTTGTTTATTAATTCTTCTATTCATTTATCACATGCCTGTTGAATCTGGCCACTAGGAGACACTATTAAGACAGATAAAGTCTTGTCCCTGTCCACATAGATCTTAAAGTCCAGTGGGGAAATGATAAGCAAGTTAAGCATTAATGATACATCCTGGCCAGTGCAGTGGCTCACACCTGTAATCCCAGCACTTTGGGAGGCCAAGGCGGGTGGATCACTTGTGGTCAGGAATTTGAGACCAGCCTAGCCAACATGGCAAAACCCCATCTCTACTAAAAATACAAAAATTAGCCAGGCATGGTGGTAGGCACCTGTAGTCGCAGCTACTGCAGAGGCTGAGGCAAGAGAATGGCTTGAACCTGGAAGGTAGAAGTTGCAGGGAGCTGAGATTGCACCACTGCACTCCAGCCTGAGTGACAGAGTGACACTCTGCCTCAAAAAAAAAAAAAAAAAAAAAAGGATACATCCTGATGAAAACTATGATAAAGGAATTATAGAATTCTGTGGATAGGTATACAAAGGAAGAACACCTAAATTACATGGAAGAGATCGAGAGAGGCTTCCAGGAAAAGTGTTGGATATACTAGGATCTGAAGTATGCTTCTTGGCTCTAAGTCTTCAGGCATGTCTTTCCCTCTCCCATCTACTTCTCCTCTTTCCAGTTTACCTGTCTGTTTCCTATTAGTCATTCAAGATCAGCTTGTATATCACTTACTCTAGAAGCCTACTTTGAGTACTTTGGATTCCTCTGTACTTAATTTTTTTGGTATATATGTGTGTCTGCCTTGCTTTTAAGTGAATGATTGAGGGAAGTTAAGTAAGTTTTCTTGCAGTACGATTAGAAACAGGCTTTTAGGACTGGTGGACATAGAAAGATGAGCCAGGATGAAGACAGTACATGATGGTGGCTCGAGAGTTGCTAAATGATTTGAGAGGGCTTCGTTTTGGGTTGTGTTTGAGGATTGTAAGGATAAAAGGTATCTGTGGAATTAAGTGGTTTTAGGATTCTCAATTTACAGCAAAATTGTTTCAGCATTAGAATGACTGAAGGTAATAGACAATGTCAGGAGATATTTCTGAAGATTCTGCCTCAAAATAATCCTGAAAGTGGTGGCAATGAATCAGCTTTGTTGTAGTGTTAAAAAAGCAACTTTATCAGACAAATTAGAACAATGGACTAAAAATCACAAGACCAGGATTGTAACACCAGATGTCTCTTTCACTTAGACAAGTTATTTCCCCTCTTTTGTGCCTCACCCTTTCTATTTATGAAATGGGAATGATTCATCACTTCCTATTTAAACAAGAATATTTCAAGATAAAGGTATTTATTGGCCATCAAATATTTATTGAGCCTACTATGTGCCAGGCACTGTTTTAAGTGCTGAGGATACAGCAGTGAAGAAAACAGACATGGCCATGCCCACAAGGAGCTTGCTTCTCAATGGGAAGAGACAGTAAACAAATAAGACAATATCAGCTTTGATCAGAGCTGAGAATGCAATTAAAAAGAGCATAAAAGAGTGATGAGGCAGAAAAGAGATGGTTTAGGTAGAATTTTCAGGGAAAGTATCTCTGAGAAGATTAAGATTTGATTAACAGGGAGGTAGGCACAAAGGGAACACTAAATATCAAGGTCAAGAAATGAGAATGACCTTGTGGTATTAAGGGCCTGAAATAAGACCAGTGCTGCTGAAGCATGGTATGTAAGGAGGAATGTAGACAGGGATAAAATCAGAAAGGTCAGCAAGGAATAGATGGGCCAAATCAAAGATTTTGGATTGTATTCTAAGCAAGGTAGGAAGCCACTAGAGGATTTTGAGCTAGGATTTATATGATTTTAAAAAATATTTTAGATCAAAATGACTGCTGTATAGAATGGCATGTACAGGGGCAAGAATGAAAGCAGATCAGTTAGAAAGATAATGCAGATTTCAGCCAGGCATGGTGGTTCACACCTATAATCCCAGCACTTGAGGAGGTTGAGGCAGGTGGACCACAAAGTCAGGAGTTCAAGACCAGCCTGGGCAATATGGTGAAACCCCATCTGTACTAAAAATACAAAAATTAGCTGGGCGTGGTGGCACACACCTATAGTTCCAGCTACTTGGGAGGCTGAGGCAGGAGAATCACTTGAACCCAGGAGGCAGAGGTTACAGTAAGCTGAGATCACGCCACTGCACTTCAACCTGGGCGACAGAGTGAGACTCCATCTCAAAAAAAAAAAAAAAAAGAAATATAATGCAGATTTCTTGGTAAAAGATGAGATTGACTAAGGATGTAGCATTAAAGAAGGTGGAATGTGTTGGATGCTAGAAGTATTTTGGCAGTAATACCAGTAGAAGTTGCTAAGGGATTGGATAATAGAGCGTGAGATAAATAGCCAGAATCTTGAGCTAAAGTTCCATTTAGCTATATAATTTTAATTAAATCCATTTATAAAGTAGAATTTTTAAATTTGAGATTTTTGTTTCTATGATAACGTAAAAAAAAAAAACTAAACAGATTCTGGTATACTGGCGTATAGTTTGTGTTCCTATTAAGTTTATATTTAGAATTTGATTGGTGTCAATGCAGTTTGTTAAACTGGTAGTGTTTAATTTCCTTCTTTTTTTTTTTTTTGAGATGGAGTTTCACTCTTGTTGCCGAGGCTGGAGTGCAATGGCGCAATCTTGGCTCACTGCAACCTCTGCCTCCTGAGTTCTTTCAGTTCTCCTGTCTCAGCCTCCTGAGTAGCTGTAATTACAGGCGCATGCCACTACAACTGCCTAATTTTTGTATTTTTAGTAGAGACAGGGTTTCATCATACTGGTCAGGCTGGTCTCAAACTCCTGACTTCAGGAGATCCACCTGCCTTGGACTCCCAAAGTGCTAGAATTACTGGCATGAGCCACTGCGTCTAGCTGGTAGTGTTTAATTTCTAATGATTAATCCATGGATTAATTTTCTATAACCATGGGAAAAAGTAATATATATATGTTATATGTTATATAGTTTTATATCTATCATATATGTTACTATAGATACAAGTATATGTATTGCTTTTATAATATATTATTAAATGTGTTACTTTTGGATATATTACTTTTATAGTAATGTATATCACTGTAAATTTTTTTTAACAATATTTCCACACAAGTTCTATTATTATCCAAAAACCATCTCTTCCTCAGGTCTAATGTCCTCAGTATATAAGGAAAGGTGAAGAGGAGCGAAAGAGGAAAATGGTTTAAATTGATATTAGCTTTAGGGTCCTTCCCAGGATGAAAAATTGAATCCTTTAATACTCAAACAAAAGCTTTTGCTTTTTTTTTCAATAGCCTATGTTGGTTGGAAGAATAAATACTTGGAAACAAAGAAAGTCACAGCATCAATGGAGGAGGTTTTAACAAACCTTCGAGAAGATTTGGAACTCTACTACAAAAAACTGCTCATGCAACTTGAAGCCAGGGAGATCAAGATGAGACCAAAGAATCTGGCAAACATCACAGGCTGTAAGGTATTACTAAATGTAATAGTAATAGAGAAGTTAGAGAAGTTCTGTTCAAAACACATGCTTTATAAGTACTAGTTTTATTATGTAGTATTATCACAAAATGCATTGGGCTAACTTTGACTTAACTTCCTTAAACAATAAAAAAAACTCAGCTGGGCATGGTGGCTCACACCTGTAATCCCAGCACTTTGAGATGCCAAGGTGGGCGGATCACCTGAGGTCAGAAGTTTGAGACCAGCCTGACCAACATGGAGAAACCCCATCTCTACCTAAAACACAAAATTAGCTGGGCATGGTGGCGCACACCTGGAATCCCAGCTACTCAGGAGGCTGAGGAAGGAGAATTGCTTGAACCCAGGAGGTGGAGGTTGCAGTGAGCCAAGATCGTGCCATTGCACTCCAGCCTGGGCAGCAAGAATGAAACTCTGCCTCAAAAAAAAAAAAAAAAAGAAAAGAAACTCATGATGTTATATAATAGGAAGATTGTTGAGGAGATACAGTCAGCAGCTTTTTTGTTGTCTTTAAGGAGGCCTGATATTTCCTCCCTATATTTTCATCTTAATTTCATTGTAAGACTTCTTTTTCTAATGGTAGCAATAGAGTTGTCAATGGCAAGTAGGGCTTTATATCCCAAACAAGGGAGAAACCGCTCTCTGAATCATGGAATATATAAATATTTCTCTTTATCTTGAATAAGGGATCAACTAGGCCTACCCATGGATGAGAAATAGTTGCCAAGGAATGCTATAAGCTGACTGACTTAGACTAATTAGGATTTACCTCTGTACCTGGGACAGGGTCCATTTCTTGACTCTGTGGGAAAGAGATGAATACCTGATGAAGTAGGGCGGGGGACTAACATTGTCTGCTATAGTCCTATTATTTGGTGGTAGTGGCAGAATGGGTTATAACACCCAGGAATTTAAAGAAATTATGAAATTTTGATCAGTTTTGTTGTTTGAGACAGCCTTGAATCAGAGACATGAAGTTTATTTTATTATTAATTCCACCATATAATTAAACAACAAACAAAAAAAGTTCAAGAGGGCATTTAACAATTTGACTTGGGTTGGATCAATCCCACTTATCCAAAAGTGATTTTAAAGTATATTAACTATAATTAAAAGTGAGGATTTAACTTTAGACAAGATGAAATGTTAAAAGTTTACTATTTTAAATAAACTTAATATAAAACCCAAATAGACTCAGTAATGATTTGTCCATAACAGTTGGTACATTTTTTTTAGCATAGCTGATACTTCATCTTACTGTTTTATCAAGTTCAATGTGAGAATTTTTTCACAAAGGCAGTTTAAAACTTCTTTAGAGAGGACCACTAGAACTCATAAACTTTTCTGGACAAGAAACAAAAAGTCTTCTTATTTTAAATAGGTTTTCTTGTATTAAATGAGTTTAAGATATTACTCATTTCATAGTAATAGTTGTTGGTTTTTTTGGTGCTAATGGTAACTTTAGAGAAAGTGTTTCACAAAATTCAAGAAATCAACAGAAACAAATAATTTTTCCAAAGCAATTTAGTTTATTTTAAGGAATAGGTTATTTTCATGATTTGCTCTTTTGATATTTATCATTTCATAGTTTATGTTCACAAGGCAGTTACAAAAAAAATGTTTATATGTTATACTAAATAAATGTCTATCCACACAGAATTACCTTATAATCCAGATCACTGAGGTACAGCATGCAATTGACCAGCTTAAGAGAAAACTGGATACCGACAAAATGAAACTCATAATAGAAGTTAAGGTAATTACATTTTTCCTAATCAGATTACATTTTTCCTAATGATTTTTCTAAATTCATATTATTTAAATATCAATAATGTGTCTCCTACTAGATGTTAAGTTTCCTTCCAGGCAGAGACTATGCCTTCCTAAACTTTGTTTCTTTCATGGGACCTTTTGTACACCAGATGCTTAGTAGAGACTTCTGGGCATACTTTATTTCGTGAGAATTGTGTACAACTAACTACATCATAGGAATTATGTCTGAAGTACGGATGTCTTAAAAAGCTTTTTTGTTGAACAGAAAACAGAAGAAGATTATACATTTTCACACAAGTATCCATACAAGCCAGGAAAATAAAAACAATAATCATAGGAATGAGCTCATTTCTTTATCAGAAATAGCTTTATGATACAGAATAGTGGCTCTCTTCTAGAATTAGCTCTTTTTAAAATTTTTTAAAAAGAAAATTAGAACTGTCCTGGGTTTCAGATAAGAATAAAAATAAATAAAATTTAAAAATAAAAAATAGAATTAGCACTGTCCAATAGAACTTCATGTGATGATAAAGTGTTCTATGCCTGTACTGTCAGATTGATAACCACTAGTCACTTACTGATAACTGAGCACTTGAAATGTAGTTTGTGTGACTGAGGAACTGAATTTTAAATTTTATTTAATTTTAGTTAATTTAAGTTTAGTTAGATATGGCAATTGGCTTCTTCTACTACACTGGACAGTGCAGTTCTAGATTATTTTTACAAGCAGCATTCTCGAGGCTATATAAGCCCTGGGTCAGCACTGAGAAGCTTAAAACTTGAAAAGGAAAAGAACAGAGAATGATTTTTAACAAAATATCAGTTAAATATGCACTTAAAAAATAATTTGTTCAATGAAGGAAAACTGTGTTATTCAGTATATGGAGATAGAGCCAATATGTAAATTTCTACACTTAATAATTGGGTAGGTAGCAAGGTGTAATAAAAATGCCCCCAGAGGCTTGGATTATGACTCCCCTTATGCTGTTTTCTTCTGGAAAGCATGTGCATTGGATCCTATAATCTTTGTATAAATTTTAGCATTATAAATTTCGCTCATGATTTGAACCCAAATTAGAATTGTTAGTACAAAAACAGTAAAGACAAGTGAAATAGGAGAAAAAAAGAGAACAAAGTTTTCAGCCTATAGGCTGGGGGAAAACATCCTATATTTAACCATAGTGCCTGGTCGACACATAACAGACATTATATAAGAAGTTTTATTGACTTCTGAATGATCTCCCCAAAACAGCACTGCCTACAAGATTCACAACTAAGGGACAAAAAAACCTAGCCTAAATCTCTTTCAACCATATTTATTCAAGATAGTACAGCATAAGTAGTGCTCCTCAAAGTTTAATGTGATATCATCATGCAAGTTCTGACTCAGTAGGTCTGAGTGCAGCCTGAGATTCTTCATACCCAACAAGCTCCCAACTGATGCTAATACTGCTGGTTCACAGACAACACTTGGAATAGTACAGGCTCTGGTACCAGGTGGTTTGAATTTGAATCCTGGCTGTACCCACTTCATTTACTAGTTTTATATCCTGAGCAAGTTACTTAGCCTCTAAATGTCTCCATTTCAACTGTAAAATGGGGATAAATACTAATAAGTATCTGACTCTGCAAAATTTTTGAAAAAAACCGAGGTTAATACACTTAGAACAGATCTTGCCACAGAATAAATACTGTATTTCCTAAATATTTAGTTCCTAAGGGCTAGAAATTATGGTATTTTTTAATATTTTGTTGTTTTTACTATTTTCTTTACACATTGACAACAACAGGTTTTGAAGCTTAAGCAAAACATAAATTTCTTTCTCACTCTAGTTTTTAGAACAGTTCAATTGTATTGTCCCTATATACTCATAAACAAGGTTATTTTATAGCATATCTAGCCAGTAGATAATCATGTTTATTAAACAGCATTCATAATCTACACATATACTGTAGTAATCCACTGGGAATGAAAGCATTGAAGGCAAATGAGAGAAGACAAAGCAGTTACAGAAACCCTATTTACATGTCAATTATGATGTACTTTTAGAAGGGTATGATGAAGTTCACTTTTTGAAAAGTAATTCTTTTTATAGAGGAGAAAACAAGCAGTTTCAGATTTACGAACATTGAAAACTGAACTGGCACAGAAAAAAATTAATACATCTCTACAGTCTCAATAAGGTATGTTAATTTAAAACTTTTATTTATCAAAAATTTAAATATTAATTTGAACAGATTTGTTTAACCATTATTCTCCTTGGCAATGTTTTATATAAAGCATAAGAATTCTTTTTCTGCATTTTGCATGTAGGTATCATAAAATGTTTCAGGAAATATTAGATGCAATATAAAGCAAAATGATGACTGGTTAGTTAGACATTCCAAGTCTTTTACATATTATTTTACAGTACTATATTTTATAATTTTCATTTTAAATCTTAAAATTTAAGAGCTAATATGACCACAAAATTTTTTGCAAAGAATAAATGTGTATTAATACCAATATATTTGCATGAAAATAAAGACTTAATTTAATTTGGTCATTATATCTTAATTAAAAGAAATCTGGAAATATTAAGAATAGGGGGTATTGAACTTGCATTCTGAGCTATGACAGAGATTAGCATCTAATAGTTTAAATTTTTTAATTCATTTATTTTAGATATATGAAGACAACAGTGATCTAACATATACTATGAAAATGGTTGATTTTACTCTCATAAACAATTGTGTAAATAGAAAATGTAATATTTTCATAACAGCTGGTTCAATCAACATTTATTCCAATTTATAGGGGGAACATGTGCAGGGAAGCCAGGATTTATGTAAATCTAGAGTTCAAAGATACAGATCTTTAGTCTGTAATTAGCAAAAGTGTTGTTCTTAATTCCCTTGAGAAAGAAAACAGAGACTTTATTACATTTAGAAAAGTTATTTGTATAAAATTGATCTTTTAGAAAGAACTAGTTAAGAAGCTAACTAGTGTCCTTAGATCATTAAAAGTACAGTACCACTCTTGCCTATAATCCCAGCACTTTGGGAAGCCAAGGCAGGAAGAGTGCTTGAGCCCAGGAGTTGGAGACCCATCTGGGCAGCATAGCTGGACCCTGACTCTACAAAAAAAAGGACACATTACAGATGTAGAAAAAGAAAAATTTAACCATGTAAATTAGCCAAGAATATATATGTCCATAAATGAAGGAATATGAATATTAGAAGTATAGGTGAGAGTGAATAGAATCAAGTTCAACTCCAAGTTATTATTAAAAATTTTACAGATGAACCTCACAAAAATAATGTAGTTGGAAAATATTAGGTAGTTCTAACTTATTCATTCAAAATATTACTGTTACATTCTTGTATTTTGTGAATACATTAATCTTCTGGATTCTTTTTAAATTCTCATTGTCCAGAGGTTTAGTTCAAGTACTTCACACAACATAATACTATATGGAGTCAGGAAGCAGAAAAATTATTTTCATCAGTTTGATGAACCTAAAGAGGAGACACTAAATTGTAGGTTTTAAATTTAAGGTTTATTGGAGGTTTGGGGGAAAAGTATAGCACAAAATGCTTTTCAAAGATGGTTTTTAAAAACTCTAAGAAAACAATTTCCACTTCAAATTATACATATTTTAAAAATCGGCATTGATTTGTAAGCATATATTTTACTATAATGAAGGGAAATACAGCATAATAAAATTGTGAGAGCAATTTTTCCTAATTATAGTTTGAAACATCTAAGGAATATTTAATAGGTAAGCTGACTTGTTTCTTGCTTTTATGTTCCTGGATACTGAAGACATTAATATGTATTTTCAAATTCAAACAGTCAAAACATTTATTCTTTTCTTAGTATGCCAATAACTAAAGTATATAGCAACATAACAAAAAATGCAAGAAACTGGATCTTTTTATACTGATCATTTTTTAAAATCTTAATAGTTTGACAAAAGATGTTCATCTCTGAAACAGCTTTGGCTTTAAGACTTCCCACATTTCTTCAGCTTGCTGTTTGGCTACAGCATCTCCAGAGTAGTCAAGACAATTTGCATTCCACATGCCAATGCCCCGTAAGCCATAATTTTGTATATATGTTGCCTTTAAAGAAATGCTCTGAGGGTTATCATACCACACTTGATGAAAGTGGCCAGCAGGATCCTATATAAATAAATTAAAATGGAAATTTAAAGTATTTAGTACAATTCAGCACCATAGGAAAGGGAAAAATAAAAACGTATACAGTACAGTAAGAGAGAAAAAGTTTCTTAAATCCAATTATTCAAAAAGGATACAATGAAATAAAATTTTTAGGGCATAACACTTTCCTACTGTATAATTCATTGATTCTATGTTTGATACAAATGGTCCCCAACTTACAATGATCCAACTTACAATTTTTAGACTTGAAATGGGTTTATTACAGTATTTTCAACCTATATTTTTAGTTTTATTAGGACATAATGCAATCATAAATCAAGGAGCATCTGTACTTTCTAGGTATTATTGCTTATGGCACTTTTAACAATGTCAACAATCACACAAAGGAGCCTCCTAATAGATTCTATTTGAGCTTCTCATGTCCTGCAATTCTTTCCTTGCCCTTGGCCAATGATTATCAGCCAAGATGTACATCTGAATCACTTGTGGAGCTTTTAAAATGCAGATTCCTGGGTCCCACATCATGTGAAACCTATTAAAATCTCCAGGGTTAATGCTAGAACATATATTTGTTTTGCGTTTTAATGTTTCATTAGATAATGCTGGTATGTAACCAAAGTCAAGGAGAATCAATGCTCTGGTCCTCTAAAACCAGCTTATGTGCTTATTTGTATTCGCTGTAGTTGCGAGAAGGGTGCCTAGCTAGGAGCTCTGCAGAAGATTTTAAGATGAATCATCTAATTCAAAAGGTGCAATGGAGGAGAAAAATACATTCTTTTCTAAGTCTTACAGATTCATTCTAAGAGTCTGTTAGGTCTGCACTTCACTGGTGACTTAACACATACCTGATTATGAGCCATAAATTAGATTCTAATCTCATGCTCACCTTCCACCCTAAACAGTCCTTCTGCCCAGAATCAACTATGTCTACCTAGTATTAACACAGTCTCTCTTAGGAGGCACATGAGCTATTGGAAAGGAAAAGGGAAAGGAGCAGATCTAGGAAAAAGAGTAAAGGAAGGTGAAAAACATAAGAGATAAAAAAATAGACCTGCAACTAAAAATAATGTACCTGTAACTAAAAATAATTTACTTATTTTTATACACATCTAGGAAACTCCTTAAAGGTATTTCTGAATTGATGCTAGCAATATTTATGGCAGCACTCCTGGAATTAGAACAGTCTCTTAAGATGACCACTTTGTAAGAAAATAAGTCACCTGGTAAATGAATACACTGTGGCACATTTAAATAAATATAATAGATTCATTGTAATTAAGCATATCTCAGTCTATATCTTATATTCCATTCTTTAATATTTTTAGAACAAGACAAAGCCATGCATACTCTAGTAATAGTTGTGATTCATTATTAAAAGCCAACTTGTAGAAGTTGTACTTACATATGACAGATTGTTGAAGATTCAGGGGCAAACCCAAAGACATACACCTTTGAATTTTGCCATCATTCTAGCTAGTACTTTGAGCCTTTTTGATATTAAGAAATTCAAATGTCTCAAAATTGTGAAGGATCAAAGGGCAAAAACTAAACACATGTAAGACTGATTTATGCATGGTTAAGGCACATTTTGCCGTCCAGAATATTGAGTCCAAGATGAGTTGCTGTTGCTGAAACAGCTCAAAAGAGTGATTTTCTTCCAACAAAACAAACTTGATTCATGTTGCTATAGAATTTTGCAATGAATAAAAAAGAGGAAGGAAACGGTTATAACTAGATTGTTTTCTAAAGTGCCATTAAGTGGCCTTCAATGCTCACCAAAATGTTTCCTGTATTCTAAGACCTTCACAATGTGTTGGCTGGGTGAGGTGGCCCATGCCTGTAATTCCAGGCCTTTGGGAGGCCAAGGAAGGCGTATCACTTGAGGTCAGGAATTTGAGACCAGCCTGGCCAACTGGGGAAACCCATCTCTACTAAAAATACAAAAATTAGCTGGGCCTAGTGGCTCACGCCTGAAATCCCAGCTACTCGGGAGGCTGAGGCAGGAAAATCACCTGAATCTGGGAGTGGAGTTTGTCTAGCCTGGACAACAGAGCAAGACTATGTCTCAAAAAAAAAAAAAGTATTTCTTCTTCAGAAATGTTCAAGTAAAAAGAAGTGTCACTTTGTCTCTCACTTTAAATCAAAAGCTAGAAATGATTAAGTTTGGTAAAGAAGGCAAGTCAAAAGCCCAGGCAGACGAAAAGGTAGGAGGCCTCTTGTGCCAAATAGTTAACAGTTGTGGATGCCAATGAACAGTTATTGAAGGAAATTACAAGTGCTACTCCAATGAACACACAAATATTAAGAAAATGAAATGGCCTTATTGCTGATATGGAAAAAGTTTTAGTGGTCTGGATAGATCAAAGCCGCTATAACATTCCCTTAAGCCAAAGCCTAACCTAGAGCAAGGTCATAACTCTCTTGAATTCTCTGAAGGTTGAGAGGGCTGAGAAAGCAGAAGTAAGTTGGAAGCTAGCAGAGGCTGACTCCTGAAGCTTAAGAAATGAAGCCATCTCCACAGCATAAGGTTACGTTGCAAGGTGAAGCAGCAAGTGCTAATGTATGAACTGCAGCAGATTATCCAGGAGATATTTGATAAAGGTAGCTACCCTAAACAGAATTTCAGTGTACACAAAATAGCCTTGTATTGGAAGAAGATGATGCCATTTAAGACTTTTCTAGCTAGAGAGAAGTCAATACTGGCTTTAAAGCTCAAAGTACCAGGAGGCTGAGGCAGGAGAATTGCCTGAACCCAGGAGACAGAGGTTGCGGTGAGCCGAGATCGCGCCATTGCACTCCAGCCTGGGTAACAAGAGCAAAACTCCATCTCAAAAAAAAAAAAAAAAAAAAAGCTCAAAGTACAGGTTGATTCTCTTGTTAGGGACTAATGCGGGTAGTTAAGTTGAAGCCAATGCTTAATTACCATTCCAAAAATCCTAGGGCACTTAAGAATTATGCTAAATTGACTCTGTCTATGATCTACAAATGAAATAACAAAGCTTCACTCATAGCACATCTGTTTACTGAATATCTTAAGCCCACTGTTGAGACCTACTGCTCAGAAAAAAACAAAGATTTCTTTCAAAATATTACTGCTCATTGACAATGCACTTGGTCACCCAAGAGCTCTGATGGAGAATACACAATGAATGTTATTTTCATGCCTGCTAACACAACATCCATTCTGCAGCACATGGAACAAGGAGTAATTTCAACTTTCAACTCTTACTAATTAAGAAATACATTTTGTAAGGCAGTAGCTGCCAAAGACAGTGACTCTTCTCATGGATCTGGCCAAAGTAAATTGAAAACCTTCTGGAAAGGCTTTACCATTCTAGATGCCATTGAGAACATTCATGATTTCTGCATGGGAGGAGGTCAAAATATCAACATTAACAGGAGTTTGGAAGAAGTGGGTTATAACTCTCATGGATAACTTTGAGGAGTTCAAGGCTTCAGTGAAGGAAGTAACTGCAGAGGTAGTGGAAATAGCAAGAGAATTAGAATTGTAGGTGAATCCCAAAGATGTGACTAAATTGCTACAATCTCATGATAAAATTTGAACGGATGAGGATCTAATTCTGATAAATATGCCAAGAAAGTGGTTTCTTGAGAATGGAATCTATTCCTGGTAAAATGTTGTGAACACTGTTCAAATAACAGCAAAGGATTTAGCATATTCCATAAACTTGATAAAGCAGCAGCAGGGTTTGATAGGATTGACTCCAATTTTGAAAGAAATTCTTCTACTGTGAGTAAAATGCAAGTCAAATAGCATCACTTTCTACAGAGAAATCTTTTGTGAAAGGAAGAGTCAAATGATGTGGCAAACTTCACTGTTGTCTTGTTTTAAGAAATTGCCAGGCCGGGCGCAGTGGCTCACGGCTGTAATCGTAGCACTTTGGGAGGCCAAGGCTGGTAGATTGCCTGAGCTCAGGAGTTCAAGACCAGCCTGGGAAACACGGTGAAACCCCGTCTCTACTAAAATACAAAAAAAGTATTAGCCTGGTGTGGCAGTGTCAGCCTGTAGTCCCAGCTACTTAGGAGGCTGGGGCAGGAGAATTGCTTGAACCCAGGAGCTGAGATCACGCCATTACACTCCAGCCTGGGTGACAGAGCAAGACTCCTTTTTTTTTTTTTTTAGAGACAAAATTGCCATGGCCACCTCAACCTTCAGCAACCATCACCCTGATTAGTCATCAGCCATCAATGTCAAGGCAAGACCCTCTTCCTGCAAACAGATTATAACTTGCTAAAGGCTCAGATGATTGTTACCATTTTCAGCAATAAAGCATTTTTAAATTAAAGTTTAAAAAATGCTTTAAAGCATTTTTTAGACATACTGCTATTGCACACTTAACAGACCACAGCATAGTGTAAACATAACTTTTATATGCATGGGGAAACAAAAAATGCATATTGCTTGCTTTTTTGCTATGTTTACTTTATTGTGGTGGTCTAGAACTGACCCTGCAGTATTTCTAAGGTATGTCTGTATATGTAATTGGTTACCATAGCTTTAACAAACTATATCCGTGAAACAGTTCCTCTGCATGTTTCTAAGAATGCTGTGAAACAAGATTCTATGTCAAACATTAAACTGCTTTATGTATTACAGCACTCCTCAAATCCATTAATATAATGATTGCTATAAATCTCCAAGATGGGCACACAGTACATAGTGTTTTTCTAAATATATTTGGCTGTGGCACACATGTGTGTATTTTGCACACACTTGCATCAGTGTGTGTTATATTACCAGTTCCCAGAACAGAGTAATATAAATATTGTTTAGGAAAGACAAGATTACAACACTCTAGTTTTACTAATAGGCATATACTTTCAGTTCTAAATTTTAGAAAACACTACACTAAAGCTCTCTGTTTAGTTGATATACAGGCATACACGTGTATGTCAATTATAATTGATTACATGTAGTGTTTGCAGTCATTTTTTTATAAATGGGTACCAGACCATTAGTCAAGAATATAAATCTTTGCTGAAATTAAATCATTTTAGTACTCCTTTTTAAAGTAACAATCTGAAATACATTCAAAGAGGATTCGTACTTAGGTTTTTGAGCTGTGGAAGAACCTTTATAATGCTAAAGGTAAATTATGAAAACTGTAAGTTTTCTTTGCCACTTTGATATAGCAACTCCTAGTTATTAAACACTACTTGACAGAATTGCTAATCATTTAGTGTATTTCTTCATGTTTCCTTTATGTAATATTTTTGTAATTTTTGATATTGCTTATAATTTATAAAATAAATTGAAAATGATACAGTTTTTCCTTTGTAAAGCCGATTATGACACCTCTTCTGTTCTCAGCCTCATTCCTCACTATGTAAGAGTCTCATCAGAATCTGTAGGCCACTTTAAAATGGAGACTTTCAGAGATGGTAACCTATTTTGGCCCAAAACCCTTCCAAAATCAATAGTCAACCTAACATAATTGTCAACTATTAAAGAAATCTTGTTTGTGATATGCACATTTTTATGACATCATCTAAAATGACAAGTGGCCCAAACAGAGTAGATTCACTATTAGTAAAACTCCCAATTGCTCACCAGGGAATTACAGTTTCTGATTACAGAGTCAAAGACAAGTTTCTCATGTAAACAGCAGTCTACATGTTATGCACTAAAGGAAAACTGATAGACATTCTTGATACAAACATCTGATTATGAAAATAAACAATTTTGAAAAGTAACAGAATAAATGCTCATAACTTACGAAAGATCTTACTTTATAGTTATAATAAGGAGCCTGCTGATTTTGATCCCATTGGTTTCCAGAAATAGAACTATTTATTTGCTTCATGATCATTTTGTAGGGCACCTGCCGTCCTGCAGCATCACTACAAGGAGCTCCCCGGAAAGGGACTTTTGCAATGGTACAAACATGATCCTAGAAATGCAAAAAGTGCTATGTTATAGATTATCAATTAGCAATTCTTAAAGGTCAATCAAAAGCATAAAAATTATTTAGAAATAAAACATATACCATAAATAAACTGACTATATAAAGGTTAAAATAAGTTTCATTATTAAATGAAAGTGTATGATAATCATAAGCTTTCATGGAATTAAGTAAAAATAAATACTTTTTATTTCAAACTATATTTCAGAAATTCGAAAGTTTATATATGTCTAATGAAAACAAAACAGACTCTAAAAAAATATAATAGAGAATAAAAATTATGTAACAAATGACCTGTTCTTACCTCAGACAGATTCAGGCAAGTATAATCGTAACCATACCAGGGAACACCCATTACAAGTTTCTTAGGATTAATGCCCATCTTGATGTAGTCATTATAGCCTAGTCAAGCAGGGGAGAAAAAGCATATTTCTCTTCACATGTCAATGTGTTCATACAAGCTATGCAACAATTCATAATCTGTTTGCAAAAATAAGTACATTAATATAAAATACTAATAGTGTTTAATATGATGTTATAAAACATCTTTTAAGAACCATAAATTCTGTATATTGCTTTCTAAACCATTTCTCTTAGAATAAGATAAAACATTCAAAACAGTTAAGATCATATTGAAACAAAATATTCACAAATCTAATTCTAGAAAGAAGGACACATTTCAGGAAGGCACATTAATTGTATCTATTGATTGTCAAAGCATGATATATTTGATATTCTAGATTCTAAAGTTTCAAAAGTTTTACAAATCTTAACTCTAGCAGTGATGGTCTCAGAGTTCCTTAGAAAGTACCAGTGTTCCATGTTTTACAAATATTCTGTAAATATGAATGATAGCTGGGGATAAGAAATGTGTCATCTATAAACAAAGAGAAAAATAAACCCTGAAACCATCAGTCCTTTTCTTGCCCAGTGCTGCAAAACATGTTTTTCCACCAAGATATATTCACTGGATTTTCTGGAACGTTGAGATAAATAACTTTATTACTTTTCAGAGCCTGTAATGTTATTGTGTACTATTAAGTAACCAAAAATGGGGTGGGGTATGCATTAGTTCCCAAACATATTGGTTTATTTAGTTTGATTGACTGATTGATTGATTGATTATACAAAGTATCACTGTTGCTCAGGCTGGCTTGAACTTCTGAGGGGCCTCATGTGATCTTCCCACTTCAGCCTCCCAAGGCTTGAACCTTATATTAATAGAACACAATTATGTCTTTCCTGAAACACAGTTTGGAAACCCTGAATTAATAATTACTTTGAAATTTTAGTAGAGTAAGTTATTTTTCAACTTTAAATAGATATGTGGCTAGGCACAATGGCTTATGCCTGTAATTGAAGCACTTTGGGAGGCTGAGGTTGGGAGGGTCACTTAAGGCCAGTCTGGGCAACACAGTAAGACCCCATCTATTTAAAAAAAAAATCTTTTTTAGATTAGCCAGGCATGGTGGTGCATGCCTGTAGACCCAACTACTCAGGGGGCTGGGTGGGAGGATCACTTTAGCCCAGGAGGTTGACGTTGCAGTGGGCCATCATAGTGCCACTGCAGTCCAGCCTGGGCAACAAAGCAAGACTAAAAAAACAAGAAAACATCAGCTGGGCATGGTAGCACATACCCATAGTCCTAGCTACTCAGGAGGCTAAGGCTGAGCTCAGTAGGTTGAGGCTGCAGTGAGCCATGATCGTGCCGCTGTACTCCAGCCTGGGCGATGGAGTGGGACCCTGCTTTAAAAAATAAAAATAAAAAATCATAAAAGGGAGAGAACGATCCAAGATGGCCGATCGCTAACATCCCGGGATTGCAGCTCTCAGGGAAGGCGCGGAGAACTAGAGGACGCCACACTTTCAGACAAAGTCTGGTCGCTCACGGAGCAGAAGATCCCCCAGTGGTGGAAACACACGGGTCGCCAGCGCGACTCTCGTGGTCGGCGCAGCAGTTCCGCCGGCACCTCGGCGCGGCAGCTCTCGGAGCAGAGTAAACGGGACCGCTTCCCCTTCTGACCGAGGTTTGGAGCCCCGGGAAGGCAGAGTCGCCTACTACGGAAACAAGAAGGAAGCCCGACAGGAGAATCCTGGGCAGAAAAGCACCATCAGTTTTAACGCCGCTGCTCTGGCCCTGGGAACTAACAACCTGGACGTCCACTCAAGAGACCTAATCTGAAAGTTGGTAATTTCAAAGACGAGAGGAGGATAAATTTACAATGACGGGAAGAAACCAGCGTAAAAAAGCTGAGAATACTCAAAGTCAGAACGCCTCTCCCTCTAAAGATGATCACAGTTCCACATCAACAATGGAACAAGGCTTGATGGAGAACGAGCGCCTCCTGATGACAGAATCACTCTTCAAGGAATGGATAATAACAAACTTCGGTGAGTTAAAAGAACATGTTGTAGCCCAACGTAAAGAAACTAGGAACTTTGAAAAAAGGTTTGATGAAATCCTATTGAGAATAGACAACTTAGAGAGGAGTATGAGTGAATTAATGGAACTGAAGAATACAATACAGGAACTCCGAGAAGTATGCACAGGTTTAAACACTCGAATTGTTCAAGCAGAAGAAGGGATATCAGAGGTCAAAGTCCAACTTAATGAAATAAAACGTGAAGAAAAGATTAGAGAAAAAAGGATAAAAAGGAATGAGCAAAGTCTCCAAGAAATGTGGGACTATGTGAAAAGACCAAATTTACGTTTGATAGGTGTACCTGAATGCGACGGAGAGAATGAATCCAAGCTGGAAAATACCCTTCAGGATATTATTCAGGAAAATTTTCCTAAACTAGCAAAGCAGGTCAACATTCAACCCCAGGTAATACAGAGAACACCACAAAGATATTCCTCAAGAAGACCAACCCCAAGGCACATAATCGTTAGATTCACCAGGGTTGAAACGAAGGAGAGGATACTAAGGGCAGCCAGAGAGAAAGGTCGGATAATCCACAAAGGCAAGCCTATCAGACTTACCGCATATCTCTCGGCAGAAACTCTACAGGCCAGAAGAGAGTGGGGGCCAATATTCAACATCCTCAAAGAACAGAACCTTCAGCCCAGAATTTCATATCCAGCCAAACTAAGCTTCACAACTGAAGGAAAAATAAAATCTTTTATGAACAAGCAAGAACTCAGAGATTTTATTACCACCAGGCCTGCTTTACAAGAGCTTCTGAAAGAAGCATTACACACAGAAAGAAACAACCAGTATTAGCCTTTCTAAAAATACACCAAAAAGTAAAGAGCACCAACATAAAGAAGAATTTACACCAACAAATGGATAAAACAGCCAGTCAACATCAAATGGCAGTAACCCTAAATTTAAATTGACTAAATTCCCAATCAAAAGACACAGTCAAAACCCAACGGCATGTTACATCCAGACCTGTTTCACATGCAAGGATACACAAAGACTCAAAACAAAGGGATGGAGAAAGATTTACCAACCAAATGGAGAGCAAAAATAAATAAAAAATAAATAAAAAGCAGGAGTTGCAATTCTTGTATCGGATAAAATAGATTTTAAAGCAACAAAGATATAGTGGTAAAAGGATCAATGCAACAACAAGAGCTAACGATCCTAACACCCAGATAGGAGACTTAGATTCAATGAGACAGAAAATTAATAAGGATATCAAGGACTTGAACTCAGATCCAGAACAAGTAAACTTAATAAATATCTATAGAGCTCTCCACTTCAAATACACAAAATATACATTCTTGTCAATACCACATCACACCTACCCATTAGTTTAAATAAAACATTGATTGGCCATTATTAATACCCAATTTTTTTCAAAATAAAGCAATATTTCCATTTACTCTCCCTCTTTCTCTTCCTCTTTCTTCCTCTCCTTATTTTTTTTTTTCTTTCCTTCTCTCAAAAAAAAAAAAAAAATCAACTTGTAAACCTCTAGATCCAGGTCGGCAATGTCTCTTTCATTGCTTGATTTCCTTTCTTCCCTTCCCTCCCTCCCTCCCTCCCTGCTTCCTCCCTTCCTTCCTTCCTTCATCCCCTCCTTCCTCTCTACCGTCCTTCTTCCCTTCCTTCCTGCCTTCCTCCCCCCCCAAAAAAAAATGAAAAAAAAAAATCATAAAAGAGCAAGCAATTTGACTGATGGGATACAAATCAGACTTTGAAGAGGATAATGCAAAGACTACATCATATGAATGACAGGTCAAAAGTACTCAAATTTTAATATGAATGTAATTTTTAATTTATCACAGATACTAAAAGAAGTTAATGCCTATCCTATTAATCATGCAATGAAGGTACCCAACCATAACTATCTTTGCTATTATTTAACACTGGTTATTTTGACAAAAATATCCTGTCAAATTCTAGATAAGCATGTGATTTTATGACAAGAATGTTGGACCTGAAATGAGAATACCTGATTGAGCCCCAACTATGTAATACTTAATAGTTATGCAATCATGTGAGGTTCTTTTTCTCTTGTCTATAGAAGGTTAATAATAAATATACCTATCCCACAAGATTGTTGGAAAAATTAAATGAAAATCAAAATGTAACAACTTTTTGTAAACTTTAAAGCTTTCAATTAAGTGATTTTTAAATATTTGAAGCAAGCTTTACAATTGAAAAAGGCGTACAAATAACTTAGAAATATTAAAAACATCATAATATTTTAATTTCTAGAATATTACTAATATTTTTAATAAATGATCATGTTTAGAGTCTTACCAGTCAATGTCTGATTATAGGGAGCATTGGCTGCTGCAATACATTCTGACCAGATCTGACTTTGTTCATCATAAGACATCACGAAGAGGAAGTCACAAGCATCTGCAATTCCAGTATAATTATAGCATCTTCTGTCTATGTTCTTTGGAGACCAAGCAACATCAAAAGTTACCTGTGGAAAAAAATTTTACTATTTTATATAACATGATCGAATATGCATACTATGTCAGATTTTTAAGATTATGTATTTTCTTACCTTATACTACACAAGGAAGAACTGTTTACAGTATATGAATGTGGGGTTTGACACACACAGAACTTGAACCATTCTAAGAAATATTTTTTTGCTTACACTTGACTGACTGAGACATATATTTGGACATACAATGACCAGGAGCAGGATACTATATAGAAGATGGCCTTCAAACTAAAAATGTCTTCAAACGCTAGGCTGGTACTTCAGCTGATTAAAAGAAGTAGGTATAATGACAACAGGGTATGGTAATGCCCCTGAGCAACTAGAGAGTAAAGGCACACCAAATGAATTCAAATACAAAAGTTTTAAAAATATAGTGCAGGTTAAATGTGTCACCTGTTGGCACAACTTGACTGGGTTGCGAGTTTCGGTCCCTGATTCACAATCACCTTATATGGTAGGTTTGGCCATTATTACAGTTAGACAATAGTAGTGTCATGGCCCACGGGTATAGATTAATCAACTAAAAATGTTGAACAAATCATTTAAATATTATTTTATGGAAATATTCAAAGAAGTGTTGAGTAATGTATTATCTTTCATTTTTGTGGGGTTTTTTTTTTTTTGAGACAGAGTCTTACCAGCCTGGAGCTCGGTGGCACAGTCTCTGCTAACCGCAACCTCCGCCTCCCAGGTTCAAGCAATTCTTCCGCCTCAACTTCCCAAGTAGCTGGGACTACAGGCGCATGCCAAACACCTGGCTAATTTTTGTATTTTTAGTAGAGACAGGATTTTACCATGTGGGTCAGGCTCGTCCCAAACTCCTGACCTCAAGTGATTCATTCACCCACCTCAGCCTCCCAAAGTGCTGGGATTACAGGCATAAGCCACCACGCCTGGCCTTTGTTTTTTTGAGATAGGGTCTCACTCTCGTTGCCCAGGCTGGAGTGCAATGGTACGATCTCTGCTCACTACAACCTCTGCCTCCTGGGTTCAAGCAATTCTCTTGCCTCAGCCTCCCAAGTACCTGGGATTACAGGCATGTGCCACCATGCCCAGCTAATTTTTTTGTATTTTTAGCAGAAATGGGGTTTTGCCATGTTGCCCAGGCTGGTCTCGAACATCTAACCTCAGATGATCTTCCAGCCTCAGCCTCCTAAACTGCTTATAGGCATGAGCCACCGCACCTGGCCTTATCTTTCATTTTGAATAGTAAGCCAGCCTTCAATAAGAATGTATCTCTTTATGTTTACTGCCTTAACCAAATATTAATTAGCTTTATTTTATGTGTACAAATGTTCTAAAATTTTATTAAAGGTTTTTTTTTTCCCCTTAATTAGGCATTCAATAAACACCGATTTTTTTTTAAACTGAGATACTTTAGGAAACATTTTTATACTTTGAACAATTTATTCTAGCAAAACTCTTTTTAGGACTTCCTCAAAGTTCTCTTTATAATTCTCTGAGTATTAGCACTTTACAGTTACAAGCTTTGCTCAGTAGTTCTCCAACAAAACATGTTATGAAGTAAAACTTTTAACTTTGGATCCTATTTTATCACTGTCTCCTATTACAAAATGGGAGATAATATTATCATAATAGAGAAAAATAACTACACCTAAGCAGATAATTTTCAAATTCATTTTGTAAGAGTATTTTCACCAGGATTTTCTCTCACAGTTAATCTCATATTTTTGAGAAGGTACTATTAATATATTAGACAAGAAAGCAAAAGACTTGGGTGGTAATATCAGCTCTGTTATAATTAGGTCTATATTACTGCTAATTCACTTAGAGCATCTGAATTTTTCCCACCTATAAAAATGAAGGTGTAGAAAGAATTCTTCAAGGCATTTATTTCTAGCTCTTTAATTCTATGGCCACAATTCTGTAAACTAAAGTTATCATCTTATCCCCAAAACTCATTCTCCCCTCTAGATTCTCATTTTTTTTTTGTTGGTTACCAGTTTAAAAATGTGGGGGCATTTTCTCATTCTTTCTTCCCTTACCTCAAAAGTCTAACCTCACATTTCCCTTTGGGTGGCCTCTCACAGTTGTTCTGCTGCTTCCTTTCCATCAATTAATTTAATATGTATTTATTATATACCTGCTGATTTAGGATTATGTCATCATCCAAATCCATTAAATCCCTTGATACTGTACTGTTCAGTTAGTAGTCCTTACTGATCTTCCTTTCTCTTCTAGTTTTACATTCTCCTACAGAATAATCTCCCCAAACACCATTTTACACACATAACCCATTACACACAAAATAAAATGCAGTCCTCAGTGTGACATTCTGGATCTTCCACAATCTGGCCCACCTTTGCAACTGTCCCTCTCACTAATTGACCTAACGTGAACGTGACATGTAGCCCCAGTTGTTCTCCTCACCTCTCAGACATGAAAAGAGGTATTCCTACTGCAAGGATTTTGCTCAATCTCTTCCTCCCTGCTCTTTCACTACAGCTTAATCAGGATTGTCAAATAGGTTGTTTCCCACATACTCCACACATCAATTCTAACCTATTAGTAATGACTATCTAGAGAATGAAGGAAAAGTTTCTAAGGCCAAAATGTGTGAGAAGCGTGGCCTGTATGCCAGGTATTTGCTATTCTTAATCTACATTGTACTCTCCTGACAAGTTGAATTCTATACTGACAAATCTTCCATATTTGCATAAAACCAGAGAAATGTTAGTCCTCACATCACTTATTTTAGCAGAAATTCTCAAATTATTTTACCTGTTACCTCAAATTCATGATGACCAAGTCTACCAGAATCACCTAGAACACTTGGTAAAAATACAGTTCACTAAGCTCTATCCCAGACCTACTGAGTCAATCTCAGTGGCATGGTTTGGATTCTGTGTTCCCATCGGAATCTCATGTTGAATTGTAATTCCCAATGTTGGAGGTAGGGCCTGGTAGGAGGTGACTGGATTACAGGGGCAGATTTCCCCCTCTGGTGCTGTTCTTGTGGTAAGAGTTCTCACAAGATCTTGATTGTTTAAAAGTGTGTGGCACTCCCAACTCTCTCTCTTGCTCCTTCTCTGGCCGTTTGAAGTGCTGCTCCCTCTTTGCCTTCCACCATGACTGTAAGTTCTCTTGAGGCCTCTCAGAAGCCAAGCGGATGTCAGCATTATGCTTCCTGTATAGCCTACGGAACTGTGAGCCAATTAAACCTCTTATCTTTATAAATTACCCAATCTCATGTATTTCTTTATAGCACTGTGAGAACAAACTAAAACACTCAGGATATTTTAAACAGGCACTCTCAGATCATTCTGAGACAGGTTTAGAAATCACTGGTTTATAATACTCATAATGCTCTATACTGGAATAAACTTTTAAGCATTCTGTTAGATATCAAGGAGCTGGTCCCTGTCTTCAAAAAACTGTCTAGCCTATTCTTAACCATAATCACCAACGAAACTTTTTTAAAATGACATGTATACATATAAACACGTTTACTTTTTCTTAAGACCTATGGTTATCCTGATATGTGGCCAGGTTGGAGGATCACTGATCTGGGTTCACATTATCCTCTGTTACCCATCTGTTGTCTGGCAAGATGACTTGTGTTGTTACCTTCTGATCTAATCATATTCATTATGGCAGTGGGGAAGCACACTGCCTATTGTCATAGCTGTCACAAGTTCTGTGTAGCTAGTCCTGTGGGGCAAGTGATATACTTCCCCAGAACTACCTCTACTCCTGGGTTGTTTCTGCCCTGCATTGGTAAAAGCTGGTTGGGACCCCTTGATTCTTCTTCTCCCATTGCCTAATACTTCTCATTGTGCTACAAGGCAAGTAGTGGGGCAATCCCAATGTTGTATTTTAATATGAACAAACAATAGATTCAGTGCTTTAAAATTCCTTAAGTAAGTGATTGTTATTTAAAGCGATTTAAAAAATTATAAAAATTCCTTAAATAAGAACATCAAAGGTTCCAGAGACATTTTTTAGGAAATAAGTGCTGAAACTCTTTCCCATTGCATAAGATTATATTAGTTATACCCTCATGAGTATATTCTGATATGGAAAATTTAAGGTTTCGAAAAAACAAATGAATTTTTACCTGTGATCCCTCAATTTCACGATGGAAAGAGTCTGTAGTTTCTTTGACTAAAGCAGTTAATGCATCATATTCAGGTGATGAACAATTAACTTCTTGCTCTATATCTAGATTAATTCCATCCATATGTTGTATTTTGGCCAAATTAAGTTTTTGAGCTATCCAGGATGCTCTGAAACCAGGATCAATTATATCCTTTAAGGATACATCTCCTGTAGAACAAGCATATATCATTTGAACATGTATGCAAAAACATTTCCTTATTTTGGAAGACAAAGCCCCTAACTGAAGTTTTCCAAATGGAGAAAGAATATACCAAGGTAACAGAAAGTCATTACTCACAAATCTCCACAAAAATTGTTCTCAAGTTAGAAGGAGAAATTGTGGACCATGATTAAGTAAAGGTCATCATGCTAATTTGGCAGTCACATTTCATTCAAAACCATACGGTGGTTTAATTCTTTTAAAAAGATCTATATTTCTGAAATGAATGAGATAGTATCTAAGATCAATTATAGTATCTTAACAAAAACAGATAAACATTAAAGGAATTTTTTGGAAAGTTGGGACGATAGCAAGTGATACAGACAAATTTCTCAATTGCTCGACACACAGATCTGGTAACAACATACCTTTAAGTACCACTCTGGCTCCTTTCGAATGAGCGTAGCACATAAGTTCTGAGTCGTATTTTCCAAATGCTGCCACAGTTGTAATCTGTGACCAATCATAAGATTTCCAAGTTTTCTGTCCAACATCAAACACAAAGACCTGCCAGAACAGGGATAAGCACCATCATTTAAATCAAGAATATTATGCTGACCATCCAAACTAGCATTCATCAGACACCACCATGCACCAAACACTATGGTGGCAGTGAGGGTACAACAGTGAAATAAGACATAGGGGGCCCAATATAATTGGTGGCAGGGGTAATTAGCCAGGCTGGGAAAGAGGGGAAGTATGGGCCAGGAAGGAATAGTGGCAAGTGCCAAGGCCTGGAGGCAGAGACAGTGTGGTGGTTGCATAATTAAATATTTAATATGGCCAACATCTAGAATTTGTGGAGAGAACACAGTGAAGGACCAGAGAGTGGTAGGGCACGGGTTAAATTATTAAAGGCCTCATAAGCTCTGTTGAGAAGTTAGTACTACTACCTTACTTATCTTGAGGTAAAGGGAAAGAATAAAGGCATTTTTAAAAGGAGAGGTATCCATTTTACAAAAATATTTTCAGCTGCAGTGGGAAATGGATCAAAGATAGACCAAGACTGGAGGCAGAATACAGAAGCTGAAGGAGGAATCCAGGTAAGAGATGATGGTGACCTCAACTACAATTGTGGAGCAATGGAGTTAGTGAACAGATCTGGAAGAGCCTAAGGAGGCAAAATTGATAGGACTTCGGGACTAATCAAATGAGTAATCGAAGGAGAGAAGTTTGATAATACTAAGTTTCTGGCTGCTGCAGATGAAGCCATAAATACTACATTTACTGTTGTTTGTTTAGTGAAGCTAACTTGTTAAAATAGTACTTAGGTCAAATTCTAAGGCAGCTGATGTTTCTCTGGTTATTTTCTTCCCACAGTTAATTCTAGAAGCACAGAAGCCTCACATTATTTTATTCCAAGGTATTAATTCATTGATTCAGCAAATAGTTGCTGAATTTCCAATAAGGTACAAGGAGAGTACTTTGCTAGGCTCTAAGGAGACAGATTAATGAAAGAGACCAGGTCCAGTAAGGAGTTAATTACTTAATTACAACGAGTATTAAGGACTGTAGGGGTTGCAGGGGGCTATGCCAGCATATTAAGGGGGCCTGCTAGCCAGATGAGGCAGGAAAACTTTTCTGAGTATTACACACTTTAGGGAAGGGCTGAAACCAGCAGAATGATGGGAAAGATGTACTTATGGACAAAAGATTGCATTCTCAACTGAGGGAAGAGAACCCCAAAGGTTTCTATACCTCAGGAGAATTCTGAGATTATAGAACTGAAAAAAGGTCAGTGTAGCTAGAGCACAGAAATCCTGCAAATATGTGGACCTGGATAAAGCGGTTAAGTAGGACTTCCTAGACCACTGAAGATTTTGTATTTTATCTTGGATCAGTGGGAATCCATCAGAGTTTTAATTCAGGGGATCTGCATTACAAAAGAGATCACTGGGTCCTTGTGAGGGAAATGAATGAGGGAGAGGCAGTGAGGACAGTAGATGTGAAAGTTAAACCAGGCATTTCTTAATTTTCTCAATCGCTTTTTTAACTTTTCAGAATTAACTAAGTATAACTCATTTTTCTGCTAAGCAAGTGCCCATTAAAATAATAAAAATTCAGAATGTGAAATTAAGTGGCCCACTGTTTTCAGACTCATATTTCTATCAAACCTTCCATTTTAATTCTGATAATTAAGATTCTATTTATTTAAAAAAAATACTAAGAGCCTGTGATATAATAGAAATCCTTAAAAAAAAAAAAAAGCTGGGTGAACTAACTGAAAATTGCAAGGTGCTTTGAACTGGCTGCACCATGAGATGCACCATTGTCAAGCCATGGTGACCCCTATGACCCACATGTACATCTCCAGAAAAGAAAAAAGAATGGCTAGCTCTGCCATTTTTCTTGCCTCAACCGTTCCTGCCTTAACTGATAAGCCAATCTTGTGACACTGGACCTTGGACCTTGTGACCCCCCACCCCCGGCAACACCCCCCCAGCTTGCAAAAAATCGCCCTGAATTATAACTTCTGTAACTTTCCACTGCCTATCCCAAACCTATAAAACCGACTCCTATCCCACTGCCCTCTGCTGACTTGGGACTCAACCCACTTACACCGGGTGAATAAACAGCCTTGTTGCTCACACAAAGCCTATTTAGCTGGTCTCTTCATTCAGAGCACGCTTAACATTTGGTGCCAAAACCCGGGACGGGGGTACTCCTTTGGGAGACCAACCCCCTGTCCCCACTCTTCCTCTGTGAAAAGATCCACCTGTGACCTCAGTGCATCAGACTAGCCCAATAATCCTCTCACCACCTTTAGATCTGGTAAGCAGTCTCCTCTCTCTCTCTCTCTCTCTCTCTCTCTCTCTCTCTCTCTCTCTCTCTCTCTCTTTTCCTTTAAATCCTCCTCCTTCTAAATAGAGAAAAAAGGAGACAAGTCTCTCCCTTTCTCTTTCTTCCTTTAAATCCTTTTCCTTCTAAGTAGAGAAAAGGAGGCAAGTCTTGGAGACTAGTCTCTCCCTCTCTCTCTTTTCCTTTAAATCCTTCTCCTTCTAAGTAGAGGCAAAGGAGACACTCTTTATCCATGCACTCAAAAACTCCAATGCTGATCACAGCCTCAGCTAGGGAAGACAGTCTTCCCTTGGTGTCTGGTCAATAGCAGGGACACCTGCCTTGATCACTCACCCACGTTACAGCCCAGGACTCAATCAGGGACTCTTACTGAAAACCCTGGTAGCCGCTCACTCCTTGTCTCTACTCTTTTCCTTAAAACATATCTCCTTCACTATGGGCAATATTCCGCCTTTTACTCCTCAGTCTTTGCCTCTAGCCTGCATCCTAAAAAAAAACCTAAAACCTCTTCAATTGTTGCCCTATCTGAACCCTAAACATCTCATTTTTTCTGTAACATGGCCTGGCCTCAATACAAATTAGACAATGGTTCCAAATGGCCAGAAAATGGCACTTTCATACTGTCCATTCTGCGAGATCCAGACGATTTTTGTCCACGAATGGGCAAATGATGTGAGGTGCCGTATGTCCAGGCATTTTTTACACTCCAGTCCCTCCCTAATCTCTGCTCTCAATGCAACCCATCCCAAATTTTCCTTCTCTCCCTTCCATCCACCCCTCCCCTACCTCTACCAGTGATTCAGAATCCTCCTTGTCCAACGACCCTTCTGACCTTTCTCCTCTCCACCTGTCCAAACTAGAACCTAATCCAGATCCTAACTCCCCACCAGAGCCTCCCTCCTCCACCTCTGCCTCCAACCCACCTCCTTATACCCCTCCTTGTCACCTGTCCACCTCATACCCAGTCCAGCTTACAGTTTAGTCTCACAACTAACTCCTCCGCCCTTGCCCAACAATTCCCCCTTCCAGAGGTGGCTGGAGCCTAAGGCACAGTTAGGGTTCACATTCCTTTCTCTTTATCCAATCTTTCCCAAATCAACCAACAATTAGGCTCTTTTTCATCAGATCCCACTAAATATATACAAGAGTTCCAATATCTCACCCAGTCCTATAACTTAACATGGAGCGACTTAAATGTCATCCTTACCTTTACTCTCACCCCAGAGTAGCGGGACAGTTTACACCTTGGCCCAATCTTACACTGAAGACTGCTGGCACCTTGAGCCCAGCCTACAGGAAGGTACTAGGACAGTTCCCTGGGAAGATCCCCAATGAGAATACCAGCCAGATGAGATTACATGATCCTGCCTCGTTGAGGAATTCAAAACATCAGCATATAAGGTTGTTAACTATGATAGACTTGAAGAAACTACCCAGAGCAAAGACAAAAATCCAGCCCATTTCATGGTGTGTTTAGCAGCCACCCTTGGGTGATTTACTGCCCGAGACCCAGAAGGGCCAGAAGGCAATCTTACTCTTAATATGCATTTTATCACTCAATCTTCTCCCGACAATAGGAAAAAAAACTCCAAAAACTAGATTCTGGTCCTCAAACCCACAACAGGAATTAACCTCGCCTTTAAGGTGTTTAATAATAGAGAAGAAGCTGCCTAGCAACAGCATTTTTCAGAATTACAAATGCTTGCCTCTGCTGTAAGACAAACCCCAGCTACACCCTCGGCTCCAAAACAATTCCCAGTGCCCAAACCACAGCATTGAGGCTCCTCTTCAGGACCTCCTGCCCCAGGACATTGCTTCAGATTCCAGAAAACCGGCCACTGGGCCAGGGAATGCCCACAGCCTGGGATTCCTCTAAGCCGTGTCTCCTGTGTGCATGACTCCACTGGAAGTCAGGACTGTCCGACCCACATCACAGCTGCTCCTAAAGCTCCTGGGGCTCAACCTCAAAGCACCCTGGCTTAACTCCTTCCCAGATCTCCTCGTCTTGGCAACAGAGGATTGATGCTACTCAAATGTCTCAGAAGCCCCCTGGACCATCACAGATGCTGAGCTTTGGGTAACTCTTACAGTGCAGGGTAAGTCCGTTCCCTTCTTAACTGATACAGGGGCTACCCATACCACACTGCCTTCTTTCCAAGGGCCCATTTCCCTTCCCTTCATAACTGTTGTGGGTATTAACAGCCAGACCTCTAGACCCCGGTGCCGAATCAGGCAGCACTCCTTTTACACACTCCTTCCTAGTTATCCCCACCTGTCCCCTTACTAGGCTGAGACACCTTAACAAAATTATCTGCCTCCTTAACTATTCCTGGACTACAGCCACATCTCACTGCTAACCTTCTACCTGATTCAAAATCTCCCTCACAACCCCCTCACATCTCCCTACCTCAACCCAAAGGTATGGGACACATCTGCCCCATCCCTGGCAACCGATCACACACCTCTTACCATCCCATTAAAACCTAACCACCCTTACCCCACCCAGCACCAGTATCCCATCCCACAACAGGCTTTAAAAGGCCTAAAGCCTGTTGTCACCCATCTGTTACAACGTGGCCTTTTAAAGCCTACAAACTCTCTTTACAATTCCCCTATTCTACCTGTCCAAAAACGAGACAAATCCTACAGACTAGTCTAAGACCTTCGCCTCATCAGTCAAATTGTACTTCCCATTCATCCTGTTGTAC